ATGAACATCTTGATCTACGTGATTATCAAAGGCAATAAAATTGACATCTAAGGATTTACATAATTGATCGATGGCAACAAAATGGACAAAATGATTTTCGTAGAAGATCTACATGGCAATAAAATTGACTTCATATTCTACTAATTAAATCTATCTAAATTTTTACCCATCACAACGTGCAGAACTTGGAGGGTGCATTTAGCCTCTAAGTCTCAAGCTTGGGACCAGAACATTGTGTGCATTTAAAGAGGGTGTGCATTTATAGAGGGTGCATTTAGAGAGGTCTGACTGTATATATATATATATATATATATATTTCGCATTTTTCCTTCTTTTTTTTTTTTTTTTGGTTTTTTTTCGATATTTTTAAATTTTTTCGATTAGGTAAGCTTTAGTTTTATTTTTTTATATTCTTTTTTTTTTTTTTATTTTTTTTATTTATTTCAAATAATAATAGATCGATAAGGTTGATCGAAATGATTGATAATCGATATTCGAAATTGATTTCATATTCGAATAAGAGATATTGATGTCAAATGAGATCATCAAATAGTTTTATTATTTTTTTAAAAAATAAATTATTTACCCTCTCAAGTGTCTACATCCGATTTTTTATGAATTTTTAATTTTTCAATAGTAAATTAGCTACATTTTTGATCTTTTCAAAAAAAAAAAATCGGCTCCTTGAGGAATATTAAAAAAACAAAAAAACTAACAAACTTTAAAAATAACTTTTAAATGTTTATCTTTATTATTTGCTTTTATTTATTCAACTCTGTTACTTTACTTACTAGAAATCATTTATTTGCTGTTAGTTAAATCCTGGTTAATGCTTTCGAGAAATTTACATATTACAAGGTTTCATAAACTAGTTTTATTCTTTCTTTCCTTTGCTTTCCTTTTTGTTCAAAATTTCTCTCATAACTATACGGATAAAAAGATTGGTATACGTAACATCGCAGCTATATCGAGTCTGACGCTCGCTCTAAATTCATAAGTTGAATTAGAAATATTTATAAGTTGAGAATTGAGTTGAGATTTTTTTTTTTTTTTTATTAGTATTTGTAAACAGAACAGAAAATTTTGTACTCTCATATTTTCGGTAATATGATTGGTTCAGTGTCATCATGTGATTTCTGGAAATATATAATACGAAGTTTTTAGTTTTGCTTTGTTCAACCTCATTCACATGATAATAAAGTAATAAATGTTGTTACCATAATACTTTATCTCGTGTTTTTTGATTTACAAATGATATAAATGTAGAACATGACGAAACTTTTAATAATTTCATTCCCTTCACCTTTTCTCCTTTGACCAAATCTTTCTGTCATATATATACCTTGAACGTAAATACATATTGTCAATAAGAAAACATTTTTTACATCGTCTATAGTTTTTTTTACGTATTGATTAGAGCTTTCATCTATTGCACGTAGAACTTTTAACAAAACACTGAAACAGAGAAAAACAAAAAATTATTTTTCGTCTTTCAATGACGTGATCAAACATTTTCTTTCTAAAGTAATAATATTTATTCTATAGATCTATGGAATCAGAAAAAAATTCTACGCAAGAATACAAGATGATACCTAAAATATCGCGACCAGTTTACATCTTTGAAACCCCCCCAGTCGCCTTGATCTTACCTCAAGAAATTCTTTGTGAGATATTTAGTTACTTGGGAAAACACCCTGTTCATTTTACCCGTGTCGCTCAAGTATGCCGTACCTGGAAATTCGCGGCAGATAATCATCTTTATTGGAGACGATTAACAAGATCACTTGAATTACCTGATCCTAAACCAAGGGCGTATAAATACAAAACATATAAATCTGTCATTTTAAAGAATTGGGGAAAATTCTGTACTTTGTGTCATATGAGAAAGACACGAAGTAATGGATTTCATATTAAACCGGTATTTGTTGATATGGGCAAGATCGATAAGATCGACTTTAGAGCCAGCACATGGTTTAATGTTGTTCTACTTGAAGATAAAAATTCTGCTTCGTTTGTGAATAATGATGATAATGTTCAAGATCAAATACAGGTCGTAAAAAGAGAAATTACTTCTCGATTTCTTAAACATCGGCTTTGTTGTAGATGTAATGCGATTTATAGCAGGTTTATTAGAGAGGAAGGAGTCAATGAACGTCGTATCTTATTGTATTCTATACTAGAAAAGTTTGGTCTAATTTATCAACGTGATAATGTTCTATGCGATCGATTTGTTTTTTATGGAGAGGGAGATCCTACAAAGATCGTTCAAGAACTAGTTATGTCCATCTCGATTAAGGTATTTTTTTTTTTTTTTTTTTTTTTTTTGTTTAAAAACTTTATATTAATCCTTTTTTCCTCATGTGAATAAGAATTTGATTTATTAGTTCTTGATCGAGTTATAAAAACTACATTAAGATCTAAGGATTGTAGGATTGGCGATCATGGATTTGAATAACAACTTATGTTCTTTCTTACATGTAATGAAATTTTCAAATAAAAAAATTTGTAAAATCATTATAATCAATTGCTTTTATTTCTATTCCTTTTTTTTTATATATATATAATTTTTGTTGATATATTTTCATTTTGTTATCTAAATCTATCTTTAACGTACGATTGTCGTCGGTAAGCATTTAAATTTCTATGCCTAAAAGGTTTAAATATTCATTACCACTAGTAGCAATTTTTGCATAATATGTCTTCGTTACCAATATTTATTGAGGGATATATTATTAGCTAATTGATTATCCCGAAGTAATCGGTATTTTAGATTTTAATTCTCTTTCATTTCTTCAGCGAATACTGAATTTAATTTCATCTTTTTTTTTTAATTATTACCTAAGTTGTCATGAGACAAAGTAAATCACATGTAGGGTTAGTAAAATAATGTCAATTACCTGCATCATATGGGGGTATAAAAAAAAAGATCATTTTTGTGTAATATTTGTGAAACTCACTGTCGTGTAAAATAAATAAATAAATAAAAAAAAAAAAAGAGATCACTATTTGTGTAATATAAATATTTAATAATTGAGGTTTTATTTTTTATTATTTATATCATCTATTTATAAATTTTTTATACCATTTATAGATTAGTCAAAATATGTGTCTTACCTTAAGTACTTAAACCCCTAAAAAAAACCTGAACTGTATAAAAAAAATAGGGGTACTGTAATTAAATTAAAATAGGGATTTTGAAATTTCGAACTTTTGAGATCGATAATTTTCATGGGACCGTTAAGTTGGGATCCGGTCCTTAGGACCCGATCTTAAATTTCAAGAATAAAGATCTGGATTTCCTAGTACGTTTATTATGTCAGTAGAACTGAGACTTTAGGACCGCTTAACATCCCTAATATTTCTAAGATTGAATAATTAATAGTAAAAGAAAAAAAGTTCTAAAAAAATTTTTGTTGTATTAATATTTAGTAAATAAAATATCTAAACTAAAAGTTATGTTTATTATAATAATTACCTTATTTGTATGTAATTTATCTTTTTTTTTTTAAATATAATTTATGCATATTTTATATTGTAAATATATACATATATACACATGTGTTTATATATCCAATTCTCTTTTATAATAATCTAATTTATAATATATTATTTTAAAAATCTTTTATAATTATTAATATTAAAACCAGTTATAATTAAATTTATAAAAGTATTTAATCTTTTTAAAAATATATTATTTTAAAATTAAAATTTTTGATAATTATAAATAAATTTAATTAAATTATAAGAATAATTATTTATTTAAAAAAGAGAATATTGTTCATAAAATATTATAAAATTCTTTTATTAATATTAAAATAAAAATAAAAATTATATATTAATATAAAAAAAAACTTTTTATTCAAATTAATTAAAAAGTTAAAATTTTATATCAAGATAAAATATCACATTTAATTTAATAAAATAAAAGCTTTTATTAGTAAATATTTATTAAATGATAAAACTTCTTTTTATTTAAGATCAATTTAATTATTTATAGCATAATATATATATAATATTAAATTTTATATATAGTATTATACTTAGAAAATTTTGTATAAAATATATAATTTATAATAAATTTCTTAATTTTAATTAGTCATTAAAATATTTGAATCAAATAATAATATAAATAAAAAAATTCATAACTTTTAATATTTTTTATATATAAGTATTATAGTTAGTACTTTATTTATAAAAATATTTTATAATAGAAAAGATCAATAATAAAATAAATTATACATTTATAATTTTGGCTAAATTTAAATGATTTTAATTAGAATTATTAATTTAAAAAAATTTTATAATTACTATATTGAAAATCTTTATTATTTTTAATTAGTTGATAATTTTTTTAAAATTTTTATTAAATAATCATATGGGCGGATGCAGCTCTTTTCATAAGATCATCTGATGTGACTTTTAAAAAATTGTATTATTACACACGTGATTATCCTATGACAAATGCGTCAAAATAATTGCAACACGCCCCCCATCATTAATTATATCTTCTCCTATTTTGACAAGTCTCTTTCTAAAGTTAATCATACTCCGATCATATTCTTAAGCTCAAATTTGTTTACATTTTGAGTATACTCTAAAAAGGAAAGTGAATTAAAAGGAAGTGAAAAATTTAATAAATTTGATGAAGTAATAATTTAAAATTTTTATAGTTGGTTAAAATATTTTAAATTGTACTTGTTTAAAGCTATTTATATAATATTCTAATAAAAATAAACTTTGATACAGTTTAT